TGACGTCTCGTGTTCCAGCTCCCGTTCCGCCCCTCACAGACTTCTACAGCATCTGGAGGGAGCAGGGCTTACTGACAGATATTTGGCTGGAGAAAACTTTGCGCAGGGGTTACGCACTGCAATTTTTCCGAAAGCCACCACCATTCCGAGGCGTACGGGCAGCACGCTCTCAGGTACGGGGATCGATAGAGGCACTGCAAGCGGAGGTCTCCTCTCTGCTGAGTCGAGGCGCAGCAGTGGAGATAGACCCGCAGGACGCCACCAGGGGGCTGTACTCCCCTTACTTCTTAGTGCCAAAGAAGTCAGGCGGGGTGCGTCCCATTCTGGATCTGCGCGTGTTAAACGAGTGCATTTCCAAACGGCAGTTTCGGATGCTGTCCACAAGGCAGCTCCTCGAGTGTGTCAGGGAGGGAGACTGGATGTGCTCCATAGACCTGACAGATGCGTACTTCCACGTGCCCATAGTGCCAGAACACAGGAGGTTTCTGCGCTTCGCAGTGGAAGAGAGGAATTACGAGTACTGCCGTCTACCCTTCGGGTACGCACTCGCGCCTCGGACTTTTTCCAAATGTGTGGAAGCAGCTCTGGAGCCGCTCAGACGCGCAGGGGTAAGAATTTTAATCTACATAGACGACTTGTTAATTCTGGCCTCATCCAGAGAAGTGGCCGTGAGCCACACGCACTGGGTCCTGTCCCACATACAGCGCCTGGGCTTTGTGGTGAACAGGGAGAAAATTATTAGTTACCTAATGTAACTTAAGTTCTACGAATAGGTGCACGTGTTATCCCACTAGCGAAGTCCGCTAAGGGACGTAGCACCATGACGTAGAAGCAGGCTGCAACCGGCTCAGCGCATGATCTATCTCGGCCTGCAGCTAGACTCTGTGACATTCCGTGCTGCATTGTCCGTGGACAGACGGATGAACACTACCCGTCTACCCAGGGAGGTTCTGGCGGGCCCCAGAGTCCCCGCGCGGCGCCTCAGGTCCCTGCTGGGAATGATGGCGGCGGCTCATGCTGTGGTGCGGCTAGGCCTTCTCCACATGAGGAATTTTCAGAGGTGGTTCTCACGCCTCAGGCTTCACCCCTCCCGGGACGGGGGGAGGCTGATCTGGGTTCCCCAAGTGGCAGCATCGAACATCAGGTTCTGGCTCACTCCGGGTCTATTGCGGGACGGAGTGACTCTGGCCTGCGCCGTGTCTCACGTGGAGGTGTTCACGGACGCGTCGCTCGAAGGATGGGGCGGGGTCCTCGGCCAGAGTTCTGTAGGAGGCTGCTGGTCGGACTCAGCCCGTCACATCAACCTGCTGGAGATGGAGGCAGTGCACAGGGTACTGCTGCACTTTGCTCCTCAGCTGCAGGGGAGACACGTGATGGTGCGCTCAGACAACACCACAGTGGTCTCCTATCTGAACAGGCAGGGGGGCACCAGGTCCCCCGCTCTCCATCGCATGGCGACGGTGACGCTGCTGTGGGCGGCGCTTCACCTCCTGTCCTCAGGGCGCGCCACGTCCCGGGGGTCCGGAACGTGGGGGCCGACAGGATGTCCAGGGGGGGGGCCCACTCCAGGACGAGTGGGGCCTGGCCCCACGGGTAGCTGCGGAGATCTGGCGGAGGTTCGGCCGTCCAGTGGTCGACCTTTTCGCCAGTGCAGGAAACGCACAGTGCCCGTCCTGGTTCGCCTCAAGGGCCGCGGACGAGCCGCCCTTAGGCGTGGACGCTCTGGCTCATTACCCCTGGCCAGGGGGCCTGCTGTTCGCTTTTCCCACCAGTGCGTCTCCTACCGGTCCTGCTGCGGAGGATCGAACAGGAGAGGAGGTCGGTGATCCTGGTGGCGCCGGACAGTCCGCATGCCCGGTGGTTCCCCTTCCTGAGGGGCAGGGCGGTGATGGAGCCCTGGGCCCTCCCGGACGAGCCGGGGCTCTAGTCCGGGGGGGGAGGAGCCCTGTTTTCACGCCCGATAATCGGCCGCAGGCTCTGGGTTTGGAGGCTGAGAGGCGGAACCTCGTAGGCCTGGGTCTTCCCCCTGCGGTGGTGGAGACCACTCAGGGGGCGAGGGCGCCGTCCACTGTGAGGGCCTACGCCACGAGGTGGAGGCTCTTCAGCGACTGGTGCGGTTTTCGTTCCTGGGATCCCAGGCGTTGCCCGCTGGAGGGGGTCCTGGGATTCCTACAGGAGCTCTTTGACAAGGGGAGGGCTGTCGCCACCTTGGCGGTGTTCGCGGCAGCCATTACTTCGGGTCACGACGGATTCGGGGGGTTCACAGCCCGCTCTCATCCGTTGGTTAAACGTTTTCTGCGGGGGGCACGCAGGAGGAGGCCCCCGCTCCAGAGAACGCCCCCGGTTTGGGACCTCAGGGTGGTCCTTAGGGGGCTGTCGGGTCCGCCTTTTGAACCGGCGGCGGAGGCGAGTCCCGAGTGTGTCGCTTTAAGACGGCCCTCTTGTTGGCGTTGGCGTTGGCGTCTGCTAAGAGGGCGGGCGACTTGTGTGCGCTCTCTGTCCATGCGTCTTGCCTGTCCTTTGGAGAGGGCGACGGCATGGTGGTATGGTGGCCCAATCCGGCTTTTCTCCCCAAGGTCATCACGTCGGCCTTTAGGTCGAGAGTCATCAGGATTAGGGCTTTCTATCCGCCACCGCATGCCTCCCCCGAGGAGGAGCCGTGGCACCTTCTGTGTCCTGTCAGAATGCTGAGGCATTACCTGGCCATGACGTTGTCATTCAGGTTGGGTGGTCAGCTGTTTGTGTGTCTGGGCCCCAAGAACAGGGGCGCCCCGCTGTCGGCTCAGCGGCTGGTGCACTGGGTCGCCACGGCTGTGCGGCGGGCGTATCAGACGCAGGGTCTGGCCCTCCCGGTGGGTTTCAGGTTGCATTCCACGCGTGGGATGGCGGCCTCTACGGCCCTTCTCAGGGGGGGTGTCGGTCGAGGACGACTGCCGTGCGGCTTCTTGGGCGTCGTCCTCCTCTTTCGTCCGGTCTTATCTTTGGATGTGTCGGACCGGTCGGTGGCCCATTCCGTGCTGAGTGCAGCGGACTGAGTTAGACCGTTAGGTCCCTCCTCTGAGGGGGCCTTCGGTTTACTTTCCGCCCTGGTTCAGGAGCTCTTGGGAGAGGCATCCTACAGGTGCGGTACATATATGTGTGTTTGGTCGGTCAGTTAGTCCACGTCAGGAGCCCTTGGGAGAGGCGTCCTGTGACTACGGATGACCTACATCTGTGTTACGTGGGGGTATCCTTGGTAGGAGTGGCCCTGTAACACGCATTGTTTCTTCTGCCCTGAGTCCCCTCACTGTGTGAGGGTCTTGCTCGGGCGGAGCTCCAATCACCCTTCGCTGGCCTGCTGGGAGTACATGTTCCTACGGCCTCCGCGTTGTGTCCCACTAGCGAAGTCCTAAGGGACGTAGCACCATGACGTAGAATTAATAGTTACCTAATGTAACTTAAGTTCTACAAATAGGTGCGTAGTCCCTTAGCTACGAGCCCATCAGGCCAGCCCGGCTTGGCAGAGTTCAAGAGGGGGTGCGGCCTTGTGCAGGGGCATTTATAGAGGAGGGTGGCTGGTGATTGGAGCAAATTATTTTGATCTCTCTGGCGTGTGACCTGGGGGTCACGAGTGATATCCCACTAGCGAAGTCCTAAGGGACTACGCACCTATTCGTAGAACTTAAGTTACATTAGGTAACTATTAATTATATAAATTCCCTGGACGGTCTCTGGACACAGAGACGCTGCATTATTGGAGAAGAACTCTACACAAAAAGCTGCTAGCTAAACTCCATTAGCATCAAAGTCCGCCCGCTACTGCCGCCACTTTCGGCGGGCGCCACCGCAGGCCAGAACTTCTGGTCTAAACACCCCTGCGTATGAAAATTTGAAAATGTGCGTTTGGTGCGTGAGGCGTCAGCGTTCTAGCGTCGACGGTCTGAACGCGCCATTAAGCCCTTGGATGTTATTGAGCCAACGCCCCTTTGACACTGATAGGCTGAAATGTAGACGCCTATTACTTTGTGTGTGCGTGTGTTACACGTGTGACATGCAGTGAGTGAATGATGCATTTAAGGTGGCTCTGAAAATACGGGACAAAAGCCGTTCCTTATCGATTTAATACGGGACGCGCATAGTTTTTCTAAAATACAGGACAATTCTGTATTTCAAGGAACGGTTGGCAACCCTAATCTTGAGGGGCAGTTTTGCAAGTGATGTTGTTTCCAAATGGTGTTTTGGTGTTGTTGGCATGTAGTAGAGAGGTTCTTAGTTGACAAAATAGTTTATTATGTTTGGAGGCTAACGCACAGAAAAGTTGCTAAAAATGCACATGCTAACACAGTATTCCTGCTCAGATAATACCTTTTCTTTAGTCCGGTTACATAAAATAGCTACATATAGTTAGAAATTATATGAAATGTTTTGTTTTTGTCACTTACCTTCAAAATTATGCAAGTACTGAGAGGTAAAAAATGCAAATCCTTTCTCTCTCTTTTACTCTGAGGAGCAGGAGAAAAACCTTCAACAATCCGATTAACATCATCAATGAATATATTTGATAGATTCCCAAGACATCTAGAAAAATACAAATCCGTGTTTGCTTGAGCCATTTGACGGACCAAACCAGACCTGGAACCGAGACTCCCACACAGGGCCAATGTAAACCCCAGTTACTTAATGTAACTAAGGTTCTATGAATATGTTGCGAAGCTTCAAACGATCCACCCTCCAATCACCTTCACGTCCTGGCGTAGGCCAGTCCCCTATAAATAGGGCCATGCACCACAGCGCTTCTCCTTTCAAACTCAGCCGAATAAGAGAGGGCAGACCTGCTGGGCTCGAAGCTAAAGGGCTTCGCAACATATTCATAGAACCTTAGTTACATTAAGTAACTGGGGTTTCTATTTCATATGTTGCTTCGCCCTTTAGGCTTCGCTAATGCATAACATAGCGAAGCCCAGACCGATGTACTCCCAGCAGGCATGGACTCCGGTGATTGGAGCAAACTCGTGACCCACGTGCTCATACCGCAACCAAGCGGTAGAGACGGAGGTCCTACGAGCCATAGAGAAAGGGATGCTGGGCCACCTCTCCCAAGAGTGCCCACGCATTCTCCAACCTGCAAAGCAGGAAAGAAATCAGAACAAACCTGGGCAGGCAGCCTCTCCCAAGAGCGCCTGATCCCCAGGAGTGTAAAGCAGACTGCAGAAGGGCCTAGGCCGCCTCTCCCAAGAGCGCCTATCCTTACTGCAGAGGTGTCCTGGCCGCCTCTCCCAAGAGCGCCAACACCTCTCCACACAACCGCCCCCCTGCAGACCAGTTCTCACCGAGGTCTGTCGAAGGAGGAACTAGGGCCGCCCTGCACTCAAAACCGAATGAGCCACAGAGTCAGAGGCCACCTCCAGTAGGTAAAACTGCACAAAAGTCGAGGAGGAGGACCAAGACGCCGCTCTGCAGATCTCCTCCACCGAAGTGCCATGTCCATCATGCCCTCCCGATCGGGGAGGGACAAACAAGACGGCTGCACGGAAAAGGCGCACAGATCCCCAGACCTCTTGGCCGAAGCCCACGCCCACAACAATGCCGTTTTGTAGGACAATGAGGCAATGGTCGCATTGTCCAGGGGTTCAAATGGAGGCCCTGAAAGGCCAGCCAAGACCACCTGAAGGTCCCAAGACGGAGCCGACCGCCGGAGGGGAGGCCTGATCCTGCGGGCCCCTCGTAGGAACCGCGCAGAGTGGCTACCAAACCCCACGTGCCCAGTGGTAATGGCTGCCGCGAACACACCCAGAGTGGCGGCCGCCCTTCCATTTCTCCAGCAAGAACTGGAGAAAAGCCAAGACCTCCTGGATGGAGGGATGTTGGACCCCACTAGGTGGGGTCCAACATCTGTCCACGCACCAAGAGGCGAAGAGTTTCCAGCGAACCTCATACGCTTTGGTGGTGGATGTAGCCCTCCCACCCTGAATAGTAGCGACCACTGAGGGAGGGAGACCAAGGCTCAACATGAGCCTGCTTCCAAGGACAGGGCGTGAGTAAAGGGCTCCCCCTGCCTGTCTCAGAGCATCAGGACGGTCCGGAACGGGCCAAGGCGGACTGAGCGCCATGCTCACCAGGTCCGGATAGCACCTGGCTTCCGGGCTGTCCGGCGCCACCACCAGGATGGAGACTCCTCCGTCCTCACCCTGTAAAGCAGGGCTGCCAAGAGCCGGCGGGGCGGGAAGGCGTAGAGGAGACCGTTGGGCCACGACCGGTGCGCCATGGCGTCCACCCCGAGAGGGGGCTCGTTGCTGGACCTGAGCGAGAACCAGAGTGGGCACTGTGCGTTCTCTGCATTTGGGAAAAAGTCGGCCACCGGTGTTCCGAACCGGAGCCAGACCTCTGCCACGACCGCTGGGGCGAGACCCCACTCGTCCCGCAAGGCCTCGCCCCTGGACATCCTGTCGGCGGCCACGTTACGCTCGCCTGGGATATGACGGGCCCTCAGAGAGGCTAGGTGAATGTCCGCCCACAGAAGAACCTCCACTGCCAGCCTGTGAAGGGTGGGGGACCTGGTCCCCCCATGCCTGTTCAGATATGCTGCCACAGTGGTGTTGTCCGTCCGAACAATCACCTGTTGGCCCTCCAGTCTGGTCATGAAATGGGCCAGCACCAACCGCATCGCCTCCAACTCCAGGAGGTTGATGTGCCCCAAGGGGGAGGACCAAACGCCTCCTGTCGAGTGGTGGCCGAGCACGCCTCCCCAACCACTCAGTGAGGCGTCCGTGAAGACCTTGATGTGGTGGTCCACAACACCCATTTGAACTCCCTCCTGGAGTCGACCTGGGGACAGCCAGAAGGCGACGTTGTTCTGAGCACTCAACGACAGTCGCTCCCTCCGTGATAAGCCCCTGAAATGTGAGAACCACCTCTGGAGATACCGCATGTGCAGCAACCCCAGTCTCACCACTGGATGGGCCGCTGCCATCATGCCCAAGAGTGACTGGATCTGCCGCGGTTGCACCCGAGGTTCACCCAGAACGATCCGGCCCAGGTTCTGAACCGCCGCTTCTCTCTCTGGCGAGAGTGAAGCCGTCATGCTCCTGGAATTCAAGCCCAGTCCCAGATACGAGATCTCCTGGGCCGGGCACAGGGAGCTTTTGTCCCTATTGATCACAAACCCTAGGTGGGCACGTGGTTTAACACTCTGAACGTTTGATCCTGCGCATCCTCCCGGGAGGACAGGATCACCATTCGTTGATATACGTCAGTGTCCTGAGGCCCTGACGCCGAAGGGGTTCTAGCGCCGCCTCCCCACACTTGGAGAAGGTGCGGGGGGGCTAGGGAGTAGCCGAGTGGGGGACCGGAGGAACTTCTTGTGCCCCTGTGCAATGGGTTTGTGAAAATTTGCGTTGTGGAGGTCCACGGAGGACCTCCAGTCCCCGGGCCTGATGCTCAGGAGTAGCTGTTTACTGTGGGCATGCGAAACAGTCGCTTGGCTATGCAGCCATTGAGGACGAGCAGGTCCAGCATGGCCCGCACCCCTCCGCACTTTTTTTTTTGAAGTATGGAGAGTAAAACCCTGTCCCTGTCCTGAGCGGGTCTACCTCCACTACCGCCCGGCGCTGCAGAAGCGTGTTGACCTCCCTGTGAAGCGCCACGGCGTTCTCCGGGCTGCCTAGCCCTGTCTGGAGAATGCCGCAGAAAGGAGGGGGCCGCCAGGAGAACTGGAGAGCATAGCCCCGACTCAGCACTCTGTGTATCCACAGAGTTCCCCGGAGCCCCGACTGTTCCGATACGGTGACAACATGGGTCAAGGGAAGCACAGCGAGATGGGAGGAGGGAGAAAGGCCTGGTCCGCCCACAGATGTCCCATCCTGGGGAGGCATCGGATAGTAGGGGGCCCGTGGGAAAAAGGCCTGAGCCCTAGCTACGGCCCTGGGCTTTTCTCTGGGTGGCCGCGTGAGGGCAGGTGTGCTGCACTTACGTGGAGCCGAGCCCCTGCTCCCCAACACTGTGGACTAAGAGGGGGCCGAGCAGTCCCGCTTATTGCAGTGGGGGGCCCCTTGAAAGAGGGCTGGGCCCTAGCTGCGGCCCTGGGCCTTTTCCCGGGTGGCCGCGTGACGGCGGGTGTTCTGCGCTTACGTGGAGCCAAACCCCTGCTCCCCAACACTGTGGACTAAGAGGGGGCCGAGCAGCCCCGCTTATTGCAGTGGGAGGCCCCTGGGAAGACGGCTGGGCCCTAGCTGCGGCCCTAGGCCCTTTTCCGGGTGTCTGCGTGAGGGCAGGTGTGCTGCGCTTACGTGGAGCCGGGCCCCAGCTCCCCAACACTGTGGACTGAGAGGGGGCCGAGCAGTCCCACTTATTACAGTGGGGGGCCCCTGGGAAGAGGGCTTGGCCCTAGCTGCGGCCCTGGGCCTTTTTCCAGGTGGCCACGTGAGGGCAGGTGTGCTGCGCTTACGTGAAGCCGAGCCCCCGCTCCACAACACTGTGGACTGAGAGGGGGCCGAGCAGTCCCACTTTTTGCAGTGGGGGGGCCCCTGGGAAGAGGGCTGGGCCCTAGTTGCGGCCCAGGGCCCTTCTCCGGGTGGCCGCGTGGAGCCGAGCCCCCGCTCCCCAACACTGTGGACTGATAGGGGGCCGAGCACAGTTCCACTTTTTGCAGTGGGGGGCCCCTGGGAAGAGGGCTGGGCCCTAGCTGCGGCCCTGGGCCCTTTTTCTGGGTGGCCACGTGAGGGCAGGTGTGCTGCGCTTACGTGGAGCCGAGCCCTCGCTCCCCAACACTGTGGACTGAGGAGGGGGGGGAGAGCAGTACCACTCATTGCTCTGGATATTGGGGGGCCGCTGGAAAAAGGTCTGAGCCCTAGCTGCGGCCCTGGCTTTTACCGTGTAGCAGCGTGAGGGCAGGACAGCTGTGAGCTGGCGCTCGTGGCGCACAGAGAGCGTAGGAGGGTAGCGTGCAGCCGCGCACTCTCTGCCCAAGAGAGGCAAAGGCACGGGGAGCGCACAGCGGTCCCGGAGCATGCCTCCAGCGCGCGCACGAGAGGCGCGCTGAGAGAGGCTCCAGGCACTTGGCAGATGAGCAGCGTTGGCCAAGCGCTGAGGATAAGGAAAAGGGGAAAGAAGTGTTCTTTTTGAGGGAGTAACGGGCCTGATGATGGCCCTTATTAAAGCGTTTCCCTCCCCTCCTTGCAGCTGCAAAGCCGGGGTGGCTGCTGCTCCTCGGCCGGGGTGGCTGCTGCTCGCTCTGCCACCCTGCGGTGCAGGGTGGCAGAGCGGTCCCTGTCCGAGGGATGCAGCGAGGAGAGTAATGTTATAAGCCATAGCAACGACCTATGATGCACAAGCCTAACACCTGTCAAGCATGGACACGGCCGGCTTGCCCCGCTCGGGGGGGGTGCCAGTCCAGACCCCGTAGGAAGCTGGTGTACAGGCGTACTCCATCCTCTATGGGAGGAAAGCCTGACCGCCAAGGCCAGGCCTCCGCACCCGCGTATACTCCATACGCTATAGCGCCGGGGAATGGGCTGTCATGGGCCTATCCCCTCGCGGCTGATTTAGTGAAGCAGAGGCACAACCTGAGCGAGCCACCATGGGCACCGAGAGTGATGTTATTAAGCAACCATCTGTGGTGCAGTAGTATTACGCCTGTCCAGCGTGAGCAGAACGTAGCACACCTTGAGCGAGCCACCATGGGCACCACTCCAGGGATGAAGCGAGCAAAGTGATGTGTTAAGCTAGGACAACCATCAGTGGTGTATTAGCTATACGTCTGTTCAGCGTGGATAGAGGGTAGCACACCATGAGCGATGCCACCAAGGGCACCACTCTATACGGCATAAATAATCCACGGCGAGACAAGCCACACATCTGGGGCTTTCTCCCGCGGCACGACGCCAGCCCAGGCAGAAGACGCTGGACTCGTGGCGGTCAGTCTGGGAGAGTGCCGCTGGGCACAAGTCGCAGATCCGCAGCCTGACACCGGAGGGTGGCAAGTTCTCAGGCGCGGGGATCTTGCTTGAAGACATCCTAACAAATGAATCGAAGCTTCTCTTAGGCAAGCTGAGAGAGAAAGGAGAAGAGCTGTGGTGCATGGCCCTATTTATAGGGGACTGGCCTACGCCAGGACGTG